AATTAATCTTTGGACATCAGTTTCTTCTTGAGAATTTGATAATGGGATGAAGTTCTTTTTGTCCAAATCTGGAGCATTTTAATGTTGCTTTTCTTTCTTTTTTCCCTTTTTTTTTTTTCTTTTTAGTAGTTTTGTTCTGACATTTGATCTCACCGTCCCCATATACTCATACACTGGATAATGTGATGATACGAATGGAAGTAATTTAGAATAACTAGAGAATGTTTGGTCTATAGTAGGAATTATTGCTCTTCATTTGAGTATTTTATAGGCAAAAGCTGAACTGTCCAACCCGCTCCCAGGAGGAAACACAGAGGAACAGGTTGGTTTCCTGGAGAGAATTACCTCATGAAGGTGGGAGCTGCATTGCTCCTAAGAGGCAGCTGGTCTCTTCCTCCAAGGGGAACAGCTAATCTGCCTCCAGGTGACATGTAATGGAGACTATAAAACTGGTTAAAAATCTTTCCTGTATTATAATTGTGATAATAAAGAATATTAAATTTCAATTTCATACCACCTGATGATTTAGTCAGGATAGGGAGTGCTATCCTCTGTTTCTAAAAGACAAAAATAAGGCACAAGGAGTAAGCATTAGCCCAAAATCATGTCTATATTTTTGCTTTATAAACTATTTGTCATTGATATTTCTAAACCAGAATATAACATGGGAGACAGACTGGGAATAGAAACAGTAAAGCGAGACTGGAATCAGTATGGACACACAGGGCATCTTTTGAAGATGTAAAATTCTGTTGCACATTCAAATATAAAGTTCTGTTGTATGCTGTGTCTAGACTTTTAATTAAATGTACATTAATAGAGTACAATACATACAATACATATTCAGAAGTCCTACTAAACACATAGCAGAGAACTCATTATTGAGAAGTATACTGAGACAGAGACCAGTTCTTATCTGCAAGAGCTCAGCATCTAGCCAGAGCCACAAGAGGAAGACAACTATGACTTGAAATCACATATGTTCAGTGCTGTCAGAAAGCCCAAAACACTACAGATATTCTGATTATAGAGTATGAGCACTTTTAAGTTGGTGTGACCAGACAAATCTTATGAAAAAAGTAAAATTCAAGTTTGCTTTGAAAGTCATCTCTTTTTCCGAGTTAATCCTTCTGAGGCTTTCTTATTCTCATGTACATGGGCTTGCCTTTTCAATGTGGTCATCAATTGCCAACACTGTTTGGTCTCCCTGTTTGAATTACTCCAAAATCATTTAGCTGCCACTTTCCCTTATTCATTCATTCACTCACTCATTCATTAAGTATGATTTTGAAGAGCTGGGTGGCTTTAGGAGATGGGGTTATACCCACAACAACCATAATCACAACCACCACCACAAGTCAGTCCTTGTGTCAAGGAGCTCATAGTTTGTTGAAGAAAAATGACATAAAAAACCCAAAACCAACAACAACAAAAATCTTGTGCTTATAATACCGTGTGGATAATGCTGTGAGAAAGGCAGGTGGTGCAGCGGACTTTGAATTCATGGAAAAGGGCTACCCAACCAGACTTTGGAGGCCAGTGAAGTTTTCCAGAGACAGTGATATCTGGGATTGGCCCTGAAAGGTGAATGAGAGTTGGTTAGCTAAATAATGTCTGGAGAGACAAAGTGTTAAGAGGGCTCAGGAAATTTTGCTAAATTATAATTGAAAGAAACCTGGTCAATCTCAATGATGTGGGTCAAGTGATTCAGTGCTGGGAAGATCTCCTAAATATCTCCTCATGGTCACACATCCCATCTGAGCCCAGGTCTTGTTAGTATCTCTGCAGTTTCAAAGGGATGTGAGAATGGGGAAACTTAGATAAATAAATGAATAGTAAAGCATTTTATTCAGTAATGAGGAAAGGAGGACACTTGTGAGAAAGCTAAAAGTAAATTATTAGCTTGCACAGTGCTGCACTGAGAAAAAATCTTTTGTCCCTGAATGAGGAAGGTGACAATAAAGATACAGGTCTGCACATTTTTGTTTTCTTAGAGGATGAAACCAAAAGAACTGTAGGAAAAATTTAATTATGAATGGATTTTGTCAGTTAGGTAGATAAGGTTGTGTTTGTAGATGTTAGTGTTTGAAAAAATCTCTTCAAATAGGGTAAATAATCTAGTTTAGGCATCAGCCCTTGGTGGCAGAGACAATGCTCTGTGTTCACCACACCATTTCCTTTTCCTGCATGTTCCAGAAAACTATATTTCTCAGCCTTCTTGAGGTTAGGTTAGAATTGGGTTTTATGTGACCAAGTTTTGGCCAATGGAATGTGAGCAAAAAACATGTAAACCACTTCTAAGCTTGGCTCTTAAAAGTATCTCACATATTTTGTACAACCCTTGTCCTTTTACAATGAATTTAGAAGACAATATTATACATTTTGTAGATAAAAGCAGAAGCAACCTGAATCCTTGAATCATAGCTTAGAAGAACCACTGGGTAGAGCAAATCTCTGTCAGATGGTAATGTGAACAAGAAGGAAATGGTTATTATGCTAAGTCACTGGTATTTCCAGGGTTATTTGTTCTTGAAGCAGAGCCTTGTCTGTCTTGACAAATGTACTTTTTCCTGTGCCCTCCTTTGGACTTGGTGAGGTCATTTGTAATTATAAGGCTTGATAACTCAGATATAGAAAATGGGAAAGCAGGAATCAAGAAAAACTTGGTTTTTGGTGGACGGAGATGAAATTTTCAAAATACACCTAATGAAGAAGAGTAAGTTTGAAGATTAGAGATATTAGATTACATTTGGATATGTTATGTTGAAAGGATATTTAGCCTTATATCATGGATGATCTTATAAATACCTTTGAGGACAAGCACTGTGGTCTTATATGTTTAATTCCCTGTAGTATCTACTATCTATACACGATTTACTTTTGTTGATGGGTTGGTTCCTTTAGCAGAATTCTGAAGGAAATTTTCTAGCTCTTTGAGTCAATGAATTCCCCTTAGAGCTGTGAAGATGCTTATTCTTTTTGTGCCTGGAGTTACCTTAAGTTGTCCATACACTCACATAATGTAGCTCGTTTAAATCTCAATAGTATGTATATGCTCTTTCCTTTCTTCACTTTCCCTCCAACATCTACGTTTTCTGGCATGTTTTTATGCAGAACGCTCTCCCTCTTTTTAAATATATTTCTCATTAGGTAGGTTGTCAAAGCCAACATCAAATGTTAAATCCAAGTTTATTACACAAGCAGTTTGGAAGGTCAGGATGATCTCTACAAGATGCATACCAGAAGCTCAACTCAATTTTTGATTTCCCCAAATGACTTTTCTTGTGAAATCTGGTTTTTGCATCTCCCTATGCTTCTCCCTAATGGCCTGCTTTTGTATTTCAAAATATAACCAGGACAAAGTATTTTAGAAAAGTTATTGGTTTTTATTTTTCTTTGAAATTTTTGGATGATTCCTTGATTTTTCTTCCTAGAAGAGTATTTTGCATAGAGTGGGTGCTAAATGAGTATTTGTTGACTACTTTAAAGATCTTAGTTGGTTTGAGCTGGAAAGAAACTTAGGGATCATCTAGTCCAACCCTGTCCTTTTATTATTGAGGAAATGAAAGCCTAGAGAATTGAAATGTCTTGGCCAAGGTCATACTGGTTAGGCACAGACACCTGCAGCTGTTACTAATGATGCTGCTCCTTTAATTATGTGCATAAGTCAACAGTTTCATAAAGCCTTTATTTATCTCATTTGATCCTTACAGTAACTATGTGAGGTAAAAACCACAGATATAATCAATCCTTTTGGCTTTTTAACAAATAAGGAAATTGAGGCCTAGAAAAACCAAGTCAAATAGTTAGATTATTCAATTCATTTATATCACAAATATTGATTGAATTCCTTTTATGTGCCAGGCACTGCACTAGTTTTGTTCTAAAAACAGGCAAAAGCTCTGTTCTCTTTTTGTCAGCGAGAAAGAGAGAGAAAATACTATAACAAATAGTAGCTGCAATGAGTGAGTCTGCCTCCTGACTCCAGTCTACTGGTGTTTTATTCTACATCTTTGTTAATTAATTAAAACAAATAAAATGTCTGCAATTCTCCTTTAGTAAAGAGAAATAACAATAACCCCTTTACAAAATGTATCCTGTAAAGAATGCAAAGGATTTTAGATGCAGCAATAAAAAGAGGGCGTCAGAGAGTTATATAATTTTATGTGCTCAAGAGAATATGGGGAAACATCAGTCCATGTTCCCTTTCTCTCCAGCTTTGAGATTTATGATTGGTCTGTTACAATAATAATAACTGAATATTGGCGCAAGAAATAGATTTGATTCAGTGGGTAACATTTGACAGCCTTAACTTGTGAAATGTAGAAAAGTTCTTGCAGTAAGCTCCAGCAGAATATGTAATACACAAGAAGGTATTCAGGGAACAGAAAAATAAAAATCAAAGGAACCTGCTACCCAATCTGTTTCATTAAATATGAAAATTAAAATGCCTTAACAAAATACTTTCTCTTCCTCTCTCCTCCCAGCAAACAAAAGCGTTGGTAGGCAGCCTGAAATTGCTCATCAGAGAAAAAGACCAGACTTGGATTTTAAATGGCTCTTCTGAATGAAGCAATTAATGCTAAAAGGAACATGTTGTCCCCTCAGCATTTGTAAGGTAAAACAGTCATTGTTCTTGCTGGCACTCTATCAAGCCTCTCCTTGGCCTGAGTTGAGATATGGTTTGCTTCATGTGCTCTTGACCTCGGGTAATCAGGAGCATTTGGCTGATTTAACTTGACAGGAGCAATTCTCCCTTGACTGGAAATGTACCTGGGGAGTATACTCCTGAGTTCCTCTCACTCAGACCCTGACTTGCTGGCCTTGGCAGGCCCATCAGGGCTGGCATCTCCTCCATTTGCAAAATAAAGATGTTACCCTATGATTGTTTAAGTTTTGAAATGCATTAGAGTAATGTAGCAGAGTTCTGTGTTTACTCCATTGTATTTTTTCTGATTATTCAGCTTTTTCAAGAATAGTACCATCATAAAGATACTTATTTTTCATTTCCTCACTAATCCACATGTTTATTCAGAGCACATTAATACAGGAGTTCCTGGGTGTGGGAGCATTGGGGGGGGAAGGCTCTCGAGTGGATACACAGAATCAGGCATGGTTCTTGTCTTCAAGGGGCCTCAGTCTACGTGCGGGGCAGGCGGAAACATTCCTTGTGACAATAAAACATGGTGGCCTAGAAACGGGTGTGTGCAAAGTACAATGGGAGCTCAGAAAAGGCGGCAAGAGCTCTCTGTTGTGCGGTAAATCAAGGCAGCGATTTTCAGACTACACTGTTTGACGTGGATGACCAGGGGTTACTCTTGTCCCCGCAGATCTCCTCAGGTGAAGGATTTCCTCTTTTATTTGTTTTATAAACACATATTTTTATAAATGCTTTCTAGAACAAATGGTTAGATAAATAGATAGATATAGATATATAAATTATCATTATTAACTCATTTAATGCTCTAACAATCCTGGCGGCAGGAGGTAATGTTCTCCCCATTTTATGTATGAGGAAACTATTGATCTTACATAAACATGTGTTATTTTATGGTCAGTGCTGAAAATAGAAATCTTTATTTCTTCCTTCATGAAACCAAACTACTGAAATATCTTCACATTCAGCTTGGGAAGATCAGAACTGGCACTGTGCAAGATAAATGCTTGTTGAACAGGAAAATGACAGCAGACACGAGAACTGTCTTTGTATTAGAATAACCCATGTCAAGGAAATCCTAACATTTAGTTTATTAGCCTGAAAGTTAAATAAACTTTCTACTAAAGCAATTGTAGATGTTGCAGTGAGATTTTATGTGATTCACTTTAGCCTCTCCCATCTTCAGTTTAGTAGGTTTTAGAATAACCCATGTCAAGGAAATCCTAACATTTAGTTTATTAGCCTGAAAGTTAAATAAACTTTCTACTAAAGCAATAGCAGATGTTGCAGTGAGATTTTATGTGATTCACTTTAGCCTCTCCCATCTTCAGTTTAGTAGGTGATCTTTTAGGTCTCTTTCTACTCTAAATGTTGGCTTATATTTCTTGCTTTCCAACCTGGGATAGTAATGGTAGATTTTATTTATTTAATTCATTTCTAGGCAACTACATAAAAATGCCTGCTTATACTCAAACAATAAGTTTTTCTTATTGTTTTCCACATTTCCTTGATGATGGTAATGTGGCATAATGGGTGGGAAAACCTGTATTCTAGAGTCAGAGAATGTGATTCAAATCCTTGCTCTGCTACAAACTAGCTGTGTAACCGTGGGCAAGTTTCTTCCCATCTCTTGGATTCAGTTTTCTCAGGTGTAAAACAGAGATACTAACCCCAGCTGACCGCTCTAATTGTTTTTGAGGATCAAAAGGAATGATCTAACTGAAATTGCACAGTGAACTATAAAATGCTACATAAATAAAGGAGCTTATTATTCACTGAGTCTTGGGCCTGTCAGACCATATGATGTTCTTCCAGGATTGTTTGTTTATGGTTGATTAATGCTTCTTTCCCTCCCCCAATTCCACCCCTTTCGAAGTTCACAGAGGTGGGGGATTGGCAAGGAAATAAAAACCTACAGATTTTATGTAAACAACTCCTCCCCCACTTAATGCTTCTCTGGTCTCTCTATTCACATGTCTTCTTAATCATAGGCACAAACGAAGCAGCACCTTCCAGCCCCACATTAAGATTCTCACAGCTCAAAGGCCTCAGATTTCAGAAAAGACCATTCTCCTCTGCAGAATTTTTGTCAGACATCTTTTTTTTTTCATTGAGAGATTCCATTGCCTGCTCAGAAAATGGAGCTGCAAGATTTTTGTTGTTTTTTTTTTTGTATATTTTATTTTATTATAAAAATGTCTTCAATTAACAGAAAAATGTTTCTGCAAGAACATCACCCTGATGGCATTCCATCTTTATTGTCTCCTATCAGGTTAACTTTTCTAACAAAGTGCAAGGAAGATTTCTCTCTGCCAGCACCATAAGCACTGCTGATGCGTGGAACAGAGCTGGGCTCTTTCCCTAGCTCATAGCATCATTATAGATAATAAAAATTCTGGAAGCAGGGCTTTGCTGGCAATTTTGGTTTGGGGGATGATGCATAAGACAGAAAAGCCCATTTTGGGCTATGACCTGCTGACACTGAGAAAAAACCTTGTTTCAGATAAAATAAGTCAATTTGACTCAGGAGACACATGGTGGTTAGAACCATACTCTTGCAAGGTTGCATGACCTTCTTCTAATATTAAAAAAAACTATGTTCTACTTTCAGACAGAACCTGAAGGTTATGCTTCTTTCTTGGGGGAATCTGGTCATAGAACCAGATAACAAGCTTGATTCCTAGTTTTGTCACTTATTAGCTGGGTGTAAGACTGATCACTGGTTCTTTACAAAGTGGGGATAAAAACGCCTGCCTTATCATCTCCCGGTGTGTTATGAGAACTAAGTGAGAATTTCTTCATGTGCATGATGCTTTCTGATTTTAAAGCATTTTCATATGGCAAATGGGGGACATGTGGTTAAAAGCATGGTTTTCAGGGGTCTCAACCCCATTTCTATTACGTCCTAGCTCTGTGACTTTGTATAATTTGCTTAAACCTGCTGAACTTAGCTTTCCTCATCTTTCAAATGGGAATTGGATACCACATTTACAGGGGCATCAAAAGGATTAAATAATACACATGAGGTGTTTAGCTTGGTACCTGGTGTGTGGTATGCACTCTACAAGTCATTGCTAGTTGTATCTTTGATTCCTGCCAAACCCTGTGAGGAAAGAAGGGCAGCTCTTATTCATATGGTTTCTGTTGTGAAATAATTGGTAACCAGAAGTGCAGAAAGATGAAGTGTGCTATTCTACTATAAAAGGGTAGATGTGGGGTTCAAATACAGTTTCTGGACTTAAATCCAGCAGGAATATCCTGTAAAACAACATATAAACTTAGAGCTTGTGACTTTTGTTAGTATGAAACAGCATGCTCTCTTTAAGGCTGGATCTCTCCTGAAGATGACCTGGAAAAATAGATGCCTTGAGATTTCATGCTGTTGATTCATGAAAAGCCTATTACTGCTTACTCTGTAGAGTCCTTGGAGTCTGGAACATTCCCTACAGAGGAGCCTTGTGATGTACTTCTGAGGCAGGGAGAAGAAATGGTGGAAGTCTCAACCAAAAGGAAATGTTATGTTATCCATGGGAAGTTATTTTCAGGAGTCAGGAAGGATTTGTCACCACAGAACCATTGCTCAGATGCCTGCTCCATCAGAAACTGGGGTCCTAAAAGGCAGAATGTTAGAACTAGTAAGATCTTAGAGATCATTCAGGCAATGACATATTTAAATAGATGAAAGCTATTGACGAAAGGTGAAATTGTACCTGCAACGGTATATACTGTTACCAATGTGCCAAGTTAGTGGTTAACCTGAACCAGGGCTTGGGCCTCTCAACTCCCAATGTAGAAAGTGTCACAGTTGCTTTGAAGACACTGTAGGAAATATTGAAATGAACACAACACAATCTTTGCCATCAAGGCCAAAAAAGAAGATAAAATATGGGCACATGTGGCTATATTCCCAGGTAAAATTCTTTTTCAAGTGATGTGGAGATTCAGAATAAAACAAACCATACTTAGTTTGGAGAATCAGGAGGAAAAACTTACAAAAGAGATGGCCTTTGAGTGGAACCTGGATGACCAGGTGCTATGGAAGAGAAAGAAGTACATGCAACAAATGGCCTGGAACAAAAAGACGATCGTTTCCTTCTGAGGTAGAAAGAGTCTAAGGTATTCGTCTTTCCTTAGCCTCAATTTCTCATCAGGAGAATGAGGATAGGCATAATTCCCTATATGGTTAGTAGGTTTATGTGAAAATGTACAGAAATCATCCCTCCTCTTCTCTCTCACTCTCTCCTTCTAACCATGCTACAGGTCCCAAGAGGTGGACTTGTACTTGAGGCTACTAGGACCATCTTACAAGTTGTTTATCGTTCTGATCTTTCCTCATAGCTTAAATATCTGCACAGCACTTATATCACTGGGTTGTTGTGAGGGGTGGGTCATAAAAATACCCTAAAATTTTAAAAATAAATTTTGCACAATTGCAAGATGAGTCAGAGAAATTCCTCTGAGTCATGCACTCTGTGAACTCACTTTACTGGAGTCTTGTAATTGACTAACCTTTGTGCATCTGTGCTGGAGCATGGGCTGCCACGGTGCTTGAGTGGAATCATTGTGCCAGAACTGCCAGCATTGTGTAAAAAGAGGCTGAAGGAGGGAAGGAAGAGGGTGTCTTAAAGAGAGGGACAGAGTATTGAAAGTTGAGTAGAGATAGATTTGCCAGATTTAGCAAATAAAAATACAGATACCTAGTTAAATTTGAATTTCAGATAAACAAAACCATTTTTTTTAATATAAGTATGTCTCAACTATTTCATGGGACATAGTTATACTAAAGAAATTGTTATTCTGAAAATCAAATTTAACTGGGTTCCTGTATTTTTATCTGGTAACCTTAGGTAGATGGGACAGGAAAAACCAAGGAGTTAAGTAATAAAAAAAAAAAAAAAGAGTTAATAGTTTTCAAAGTGCCCTCATGTTTCTTATCTCATTTTGACCTCATGTCAACAAAA